GGGAACCAATCAAACATCAGGGAACCAACCAAACGTCAGGGAACCAACCAAACATCAGGGAACCAATCAAACGTCAGGGAACCAATCAAACGTCAGGGAACCAATCAAACGTCAGGGAACCAACCAAACGTCAGGGAACCAATCAAACGTCAGGGAACCAACCAAACGTCAGGGAACCAACCAAACGTCAGGGAACCAACCAAACGTCAGGGAACCAATCAAACATCAGGGAACCAACCAAACATCAGGGAACCAATCAAACGTCAGGGAACCAATCAAACATCAGGGAACCAATCAAATGTCAGGAAACCTCCCGACAGTAAAACAAACATCTATCTTCATTAAACTAGTATTTAAGTATTTAACTATTTAACATCAGGTTCTGCAGTAAAAGTAGATATACCACAGTATACAAATACATTATTAAAGTAAGACTTCATTCAGAATGTTTATTGAGTAAATGTACAATAGTATGAGCATCAAAATACACTTAAAGTACCAAAGTAAGCAAATATTTATATATATATGTATATATATATATATATATATATATAAAAAGCGGTCAGATAAATGTAGTGCAGTAAAAGTACAATATTTACCTCTGAGAAGTAGTAGAAGTATAAAGTAGCAGATAATGGATATACAAGAATTACAAGTACCTTGAATTGTACTTAAATATAGTACTTGAGTAAATGTTCGTAGTTACATTCCACCTTTAACCAAATGTTCCTGATATACTTTTACTTAAAGTAACATTTTCAAAGCAGTACTTTTACTGAAGCACAGAGTATTTTTAAAGCGTGGCAGTAGTACTATTACTAAAGTAAAGTATCTGAATACTTTCTCCACCACTGCCCTGTACTCTACCTCATGAAATAATACCTCTAAAACTGTTCATGTAACAATAACTGTCTGATTGTGTCTGTATCTTTAAATCAAATATTTATTTTTCTGTCTCACCAGCCAAAGCAGAAGAGAGCGAAGTAGAGTCCCAGTAAAGTGGCCACCACGTGTCTGATGAAGGGACTGGTTTTACTGGGATGAAGGAAGAGACGAAACCAGAAGGCCGACAGCAAAGCACAGAGCTGACACACCACAAAGTTCACCTGCCAGATAGAGAGAAGGGTAGTATTATTATTATTATCCTCTGAGACCAGAGACACAGAGGAGGAAACAGTTTGTTCTTTGTTATTGTTGAGGACTGTGTGTTTGGCTAACAGCTAACAGCTAACCGCTAACAGAACCACACACCCTGCTGACACAGTGACTCCTGAGAGTTTGTGTATCAGCAGCGTAACATCTGATCCAGATGTAAAGTGAAACAGGCAACGCTTATTGGTGTGAATTAATAATGAACGTTGTGTAAACTGAGCGGTTAGAGTATTTCCTCCTGCGTCTGCTGTCTGAAGCAACACAGACGAGTTCAACAACAGACGAGTTCAACAACAGACGAGTTCAACAACAGACGTGTTCAACAATAGACGAGTTCAACAATAGACGAGTTCAACAACAGACGAGTTCGACAGCCGACGACTTCAACAACCGACGACTTCAACAACAGACGACTTCAACAACAGACGACTTCAACAATAGACGAGTTCAACAATAGACGAGTTCAACAATAGACGAGTTCAACAACAGACGAGTTCAACGACAGACGACTTAAACGACAGATGACTTCAACAACCGACGGACAATAGACGAGTTCAGCGACAGACGAGTTCATCGACAGACGAGTTAAACGACAGATGACTTCAACAACCGACGGACAATAGACGAGTTCAGCGACAGACGAGTTCATCGACAGACGAGTTCAACAACCGACGGACAATAGACGAGTTCAACGACAGAGTCTGGATTATCAGAGTCTGGATCATCAGAGTCTGGATCATCAGAGTCTACTAATGTGTGAAGGTCTATCAGAAGTTCTGAGATCCTTTCTGAAGTAAAAGAACGATCACGTTGAATCGATCAGCAGATAAATAACCAATAACAAGTCATTTAATCTCAAAACGTGCTCTCCAGCCTCTGAAGTTAAGACGTTTCCTTCTTCTCTCAGTGAACTGAAACATGTTTCACTCTTTGACATGTTATGGATCAAACTGATCATCAGTTACAGCTCTGATATTAATGCATATTCATACTTTACAACAGAAACACCTTTTATGGAGCAGATACTTTATATTTGCAGTGTGGAGGAAGTATTCAGATACTTTCATGTAAAAGTACTCCATTTATAAAGTAGTGCAGTCCAGCTGGTCCCAACCTGAGGCGCCGGGCCCTCCAGAGGGTCACCAGACAGATGTGAGGGGTCGTCACTGATTCTATTGTTTAAGAATCTTTCATTGTAAACTTTATCCTATAAATGAAGTAAATGTATCATGTCTGGAAACCAGCTCCTAAAAATAGTCAAATATCTGATGAATGTAATTTTCTTCTAATTAAATATATTTCATGATTTATATTGATTGTTTGTGATGGTTTACACACAGCTGGTTTATATTACTGTGATTATATTAACTACATGTTAACATTATTAATATCATTATAATGATCATTGTTATTATAATTATTATTATTTGGGCCTATGAGCATCATGACCTCAGAGTCAACCAGCTGATCACTGATTTATCCTTCTGCTCTTCATCTTCATCTTCATCAGACACACCACCACCCAGCTGCCATCTCGTCTCACCGACGACACAATGTTTAAGGTTCCTTACTGTGTGTGTGTGTGTGTCTGTGTGTGTCTGTCTATCTGTCTGTGTGTGTGTTCGAGGCCTCCATCCATTTTATACCCGTCGTCGCTCTGATCCGCTCGGTTTCGCTCTCAGACTCGTTTTTTGTTGCCGTGCACGTCGCTTTTTTCTCGGTGTGTCAGAGACCCACCGGACCCACCGGAGATCCGCGGCTCGGCTGCTGTGGAGGATCTTACCTGGTCCAGCGGCAGGTTGGTGATCTCGCTGACCGGCTGCAGCAGGCTGGAGCCGGTGCAGGCCGTGGATGGGTTGTCTTCAGCGGCCATGGCTCCGTGTCTGCGGCCGGGTCTGCTGCTTCTGTGTCCGGCTGCAGCAGCTCAGAGGCGGCGGCGGAGGCTCCGTGATCCTCCGACGGTCCGTCTGTGTGTCTGTGTGTCCTGCTGCTGATGCTCCTTCCTCCTCTTCTTCCTGTTCCTCCTCCTCCTCAGTCTGTCTGCCCCCCCTCCTCCTCCTCCTCCCTCTGAGCCCCCCTCTTTCTTCTCCCCACACATCCATCTCTTCTGGTCCTTCCTCCTCTTCCTCCTCCTCTTCTTTTATTCTCCTCTCCTCTTCTCCTTCCTCCTCCTCTCTTTCTGTTCTTCTTGTCTAATAAACGTTTCTCTACAGGTTTCCTGAACATATATTTATGATGTTTCTATCTATAAAGTAGAGACATTCTTCCATCACACGTTTAAATAATTAGTGTAATAATTATGTACTCGAGATGTGGAAGACGATGGATAATATAAATAAATAGACAATGCATTCATAAACATACAGTCTCATTTTCTACAGAATTTGTGCCAAATTACATCGTTTTGTATTCTAAGAAAACGTATTGGTAATTATTTCAGATAGTTTAAATATTAATGTAAAACATGAGCTTCTTTTCCAGTAATATGTAATGTTATTGTAGTGACTCCAATAACAAAGATATAACATCATCCACATTATTGAGTTTATTGAATAATTTCTAAAGAACAAAAATCACACTTTCTATTTCTGTTCAGTTCCTCTCTCCGTCCAGCAGGAGGCGGTGTCTCGCTCTCTGACACGAAAATAAAAACAGTAGAAGAAGACACTTCCGGGTGGTTTGTTTTGGTTCTGTTGCCCAGTTAGCCGTTAGCAGTTAGCTTCCAGCTATCCATGTCGGCTACAGAGGACGACACCGAGCTGCGGGACCTCCTGATCCAGAACCTGGAGAACAACGGAGTCCTCAACAAGCTGAAGGTCCTGAACACTCAGTCAAAAGTACCGTTAACTAGCGATGCTAGGCCAGGCTAATGTTAGCTCAACGGGTTAGCATGGAGCTATATCCAGGCCCAGAGTTTTGATCATTTGAAGTTTTGGTCTTAAACATTGAAAAATACATCAATGTATTAAAATAAAAATAAGTGAATGAAAAGGTTTTTGTGTTGAACATAATTTTCATTCATTTCTGGAATTGTTTTGAATAAAATGTTTATTTTAATTTTTCACTTTCATATATATTTTGATATTTGAGGTCTTATATTTTCATCTGGCGTGGGGGGGGGGGGGGGGGGGGGGGG